TCCTCCTCCTCCTCCTCCTCCCCCCCCCCCCTCCTTTTCCTTCTCCTCCTCCTCCTTTTCTTCCTTCTCCCCTTCTTTTCCTCCTCCTCCTCCTCCTGCTCCTCCTCCTCCTCCTCCTCCTCATTCGTTCCGTTATCTCCAATTCCGTCTTCGTTCATCGACCCAGCATCTCCCCCCCTCACCCCCCCCCCCCTTTGTTCCTGGCCTTTGCTCCCTATCTTGTGTGTCAGGGTAGACAGGTAAGCCAGACGAATGGGTAAGTAGATAAGAAGATAAGTAGGTAGATAGGAGGATAAGAAGGGAGGCAATAAAGCTGAAAGTTTAGTTGGCTGTTAGGTAAGTAGGTCTATGGGTAAAAAATTGGGTTAGTTGGTAGGTCGATGGGTAAGTAAGTGGTTAGTAGGTAGATGAGTTGCGTAGGTAGATGGGAGAAGTTGGTCAGTAGGCAAGTGGGTAAGCTAACAGGCAGGCAGGTAAGCAGGCAAGCAGGCAAGTATGTAGGTAAGTAGGCGGGAAGGTCTGTTGGCAATCTCAGCAGACCCCCTTTCTCCCCCTCCCCCCTCCCCCTCCCCTTTCCCCTCCCCCTCCCCCTCCCCCCCGTTGCAGGCAGGTTGCTTGGAATGTGAATTACAGGCGGGCAAGACAGGTCATTGAATCGGAGCTGCTGGCCAGGTCGACGCCGAAGCTATGTGTTGCGTTTCTCGGTCGTTCTTTCCTTTATCATATTTCTTTCTTCGCCCTCTTTTGTTGTTGGAGGTTGTCTGGATGTCTGTCTGGGTGTCTTTCTGTCCTTCTCTCGTCTCTCTCTTCTCTCTCTCTTCTCTCTCTTTCTCTCTCTCTTCTCTTCTCTTCTCTTCTCTTCCTCTCTCTCTCTCTCCTCTCTCTTCTCTTCTCTTCTCTTCTCTTCTCTTCTCTGGATTCGCGTTTGGTGACAGCTCTTCGTTGTCTTTGTGTCCTTCAAGAAAGAGGGAGAGGAAAATGGAAAGGGAGGAAGAGAGAAAGAGAAAGGTGATGAGGTAGAAGGGCGAAAGGAGAGAGAGAGGGAGAGATAGAAAGTAAAAGAAGGAACGGGGATAGAAGGAATAGGAGGAAGAAAAAAAAAGAGCTAGAGAGGCAGAGACAGAGAAAGAGAACAGCACAAAATAAAAGAGATCCGAATATCCGAGAAGGAAACCCGAAGAAACGCCGAGAGAGAGAGTCGAGTGGCGGTGGTGCGCGTAACAAACGGTCACAATTCGCACAACTGTTGTTCCGTCGCCTGCTTTATATACAGCTTAGACTTTTTTTTGGAGATTCAGCGCTCGTCACCGCCATCTGTAGGCGTTCCGCTGTTGAAGAAATATGCATAAGGTTTCCACGGAGATTCGCGGGGTGGGAGACGAGGAGGAAGGAAAGGTGGGGTGGATAGAGATAGGGGAAGGAGGATTGGGAATTGAAGGAGGAGGGGATAGGAAGAGAAAGGGGAGATAGCAAGATATATAGAAAAAAATAAATAAATAAAGGAAGAATTGGAAGGAAATAAATGAGAATTGGAATAAGGAGTTGAGAGGGAAAACGAGATAGAAAACGGGGAAATGAGGCTAGAAAAACGGACGAGGCTTTTGTGGTAAACTTGTCCTAACCGAAAGCATTCCCTTGACGATATTGGAACCGCAACAAACTGAGCATCACATCTGTTGTGTCACAGGACCTACCCCCCCCCCCCCGCCTTCCTTCTCCTCCTATCCCCCCTTCTTCTCTTCCCTCTTCCCCTCGTAACTCCCTACCCCCCGTTCTACTTTACCCCTCTCTCCTCGCTTACCTCTCGTTCCCTTCTCTCTCTCCCTTCCCCCTTCCCCTTCCCCATCCAGCCTCTCTCCGCTCCTCCCCCCTTCCTCTTTCCCTTCCCTCTTCCCCTTCCCTCTTCTCCCTTCCTACCTCTCTCCCCTCCTCCTCTTCTCCTTCCCCTTCTAACCTCTCTCCCCTCCTCCCCTTCTCCTTCCCCTTCTAACCTCTCTCCCCTCCTCCCCCCTCCCTCTTTCCCTTCCCTGTTCCCCCTTCCCCCTCCCCTTCCCCCCTCTCGGGTCGCACGCAAAGCCCACCTGATCCCAAGAGCAGGGACTTACCTGGCACTCTTGTGTAATATGACAAACGTAGGATTAAAAGTGCCAGTCATTCGGCACTGTGGGCGTTGTGTGTGCTTGTGTGCGATTGTTTGGGTGCAAAAGGTGATTGGGTGCGTGCGTGTGGTTATGTGTGTGTGTGTGTTGTGTGTATGTGTATGTGTGCGTGTGTGTGTGCGTGTGCGTGCGTGCGTGCGTGCGTGCGTGCTGGCCTTTCTGTTGCTTGTGCTTACCTTACTCAATGCTTCTTGCTGTGGCTTCTTCTCCCTCACACGCCTGGACGCACACTTCTGGCAAATCATCGTCACTTGACCTCGCTCAGCCCCATTCCCCGCTTTTATCAAACGCTCTCTATTCGTGTTCTTCGTTCTTTCCTTTGTCTTGTATCTCTTTATCTCCTTTATCTCGGTCTAACAATTTCTTCTCACTTTCCTTCGTTTTTCTTCTTTTTTTTCGTCATGTAAATCTCTCTTCCTACCAGTCTAACACGATTTCCTCTTTTTTTCTTATCAATCTCACTCTCTTATCCACCATTTTCGTTATTCCATTTTTCTTTTTATCTCCTTTCTTTAACGTCCACTTGACCTCTCTTCGGTACTCTCCCAAGGAGGACGAACTCGGAGAAGAAGCGACCAAATGGCAGTACCAAGTCTTAGCTACGAAATCCTTTCAAGTGTTGGGAATTTAACGCATGATTGGGCAGAGGAACGCGTATTTTAAGACCAAAGCGCAATTTTTTGTGTGTTTGTGGGGATGGAATAGTTGAAAAAAAAGGTAACTTTGGATTGAATAGCTGTATATTCATTTGGTTAAGATGTTAGATGTAAAGGAAAATTATTCCTTTGCTATCTTTTGTCCCTGGTTCAAATTCTCTCGTAATGTTTGTACAGGTAAATGTTGCCTTATTGATTACATTTACCGGGTAGAAATATCCACTTTAAAGGTCGCAGTAAAGATATCAAATGTCGAAATGCCCCGCTCGTTGTATGAACAATTTTTTTTTTCTTCTTTCTTCTTTCGTCTTGCAAAGTCCAATTACGGACAATGCAGCGTGGTTATATCACCTCTACCAGAAACACACAAGCAGGTTATGCCAGTTTAGTCTGCACTACTCTGTTTTCTCGCCTTTTTCTTCTTAATCTTTCTTTTGGGAGCGCAGACAAAGAAGGAAGAAGAAAAGGAAAACATTTATTTAATTTATTTTTATTTTTCCTTCCGAGACAGGGGAAGAAATCGGTTTTGCGTTGAAGAGAGCGCGAGCACAAAAGAAATACGCGGAGAGAGAGAGACAAGTGTTGCTTCACACGCGCGGTGACTGAACATAACCGAGTGAAAGAGATAACCCAGTTGTATTTTTGTT